TATATGTATTATTATTTATTTTTTTTGGCAAAAACATTGCAATTGGTTTACATTGTATTACAAACCTTGATGCAAAATGGACAGAATATGTGTCTCAAAATATAATATAAGCATAAATATATATATATGCTAAATATAATATGTAGCTGCTTTTTCTTTTGAGAGTAGAGCTGTATACATTTGAGCACCCCTCTTCTGAAATGTAACTTTAATAATTGTGGTCTGTGTTTTTTTCCCTCTTCCCTAGCTTCCGCACAAGCAAAAGTTTGGGCTATTCTGCACACTTTGTGGGCGGGTGTCTGATTGTCACCTCTCTAAAGTCCAAAGCCAAAGGCTTCCAGCACTGTGTGAAATACGACTTCAAACCCCAGAAGGTATGAATCACCTCAAATGTTTTAGCTTACCTGTTTGGAAAGTGTACATTATAAGAGTACAAAGTCTTCATCTTTAATTCTAAAATGTACAAGGAGAGCAAATTTGACATCAGAAGGAGGGTTTGTGTTAAGGCCAAGTCATGTCTGAGGATTTGCAAGAAGAAACCAAATCCCTTCCCTGCTCATATGCCCCCTGGAATGGGCAGGCGTCCTCGTGTATATATATATAAGGAAATTCTACTTATGGGGCTAATATTGCTCAAATTCACATTTCTAATATCAAGAAGCTTACAAGTGCTCTAAAAAGCTTTCATGGGTTGATTTGGCCTATATTTAGAGTCCATTCCATTCCATCTGGAGAGGTCTTACCTAAGGGATAAGCACCTTCATTGGCTTTTCCCACCATTTAATGGAAATTCAAGAAGATCTGGGTGAGGCCGTTGCTGGAGGGTGTAAATGGACCATAACTGTAGCAAAGTTTAGCGTTAGAAGTTTGCTGATGGACCACATTTTTCTATAGACCAGGGTTTTTCAAACTAGGGTCCGAGGACTCCCAGGGGACCACAAGGGGGTGCTAAAGTGTCTGCAAAAGATAGAAAAATGTATTGTTAGGGCTGTCAAAGTTAACATGCACTTAAGATGTTAATGAAACATAATATTTTTTTAATTCTTATTCAGTGAATTTGATTATTAATATTTCATTCTGCTTTCTAAGGATTGAGGACTGATTAGAAATCATGAAATCATAATTGTAGCTTATTTTATTGTATTGACACACGTACAGTATATACTAAATGTACATATATATATACGATTTTCAGCCAATTTAATAGAGTAAATATTATCTTTATATTTTCACTACTTGCTTTACTACAATGGCAATGCCAATTATATAATTTTAGAAACTGATTTATAATTTCACTTTTAATATTTTTCTCACTCGGTATGAATGATTGTTTATGCACGAAAATAGAAAGTAGATTCCTACCAGGGGATAATCTTATTTTGGAGTCAGAAATTTTAAAAACACCTGCTATAATGCTCTCAAGTTTTGTGATATTGATATTAAATAATGACGCACTGTCGTTTGTATAATTGCTTTTTTTTTTTTTCATCTACAGTGGTATATGGTGACCATAGTGCATATCTATAATCGCTGGAAGAACAGCGAAATCAGCTGCTATGTCAATGGAGAGTTGGCGTCATATGGTGAGATCACCTGGTTTGTCAACACGAGCGATGTAAGTAGTTTCAAAAGGCTCTGTTATCTCTCGTTGTTCTGGTTTTTAACAGCCGTTAAGCTTGAGGCCCTGCTTTTTTCTCCAGAAGTGTTTTAGTTCAAAGCTTGTCAATATTTTAGCAGCTACAAACCCCAAAATACCCACAAATTTAAAGGATGAAACAAAACTGCTTTGACAGCAGAACAATAGCAAAAGCTAACATTTTCCAATACATGTGATGACATTAAATGTGATTATTCAGTCATGTGTTGTTCTTTTCATGAACAGTGAGGTCCAGAATGTGAAACGTATTTTCATTAAAATCATATGATTAGAATTTGGCCAGTGAGTGTGCAGGACACATAGGCTTTTTTTTTTTTTTTTTTTGTATATCAAAGCTGGGCATTATGAAACACACACACACAAAAAGTTGCTTAAGGTGGTGTCAGAATGATGTAATCACTTTCTATTTATAACATTTAAAGAACAGCATTTTGTAACCGCAAATTGCTGGTTTCTCATCTTGATTCACATGAACTAACAAGTGATACTAATACGGTTTATTGCTCTTTTATTGTATGCATGTGAACAATGAGTCTCAGTAAAAAGCCCTTTAAAAAAATCACTGTAATAGGATCATAGGTATAATCAATGCGCTCTAGCTGATTGAAGACCTGTGCACCTCAAGTGTGATGTGAGTAAATAACACAAAGTGCTGTATAAATGCTGTGATGTTCTAAAGTTTAGGGTCAGTAGGATATACTTTTAAGAAATTAATACTTTTATTCAGCAAGGATGCATTAAATTTATCAAAAGTGACAGTGGAGACAATTATAATGTTACAAAAGATTCTATTTCAAATAAATGCTTTTGAACTTTCTATTCATCAAAGAATCCTGAAAAATCTATCAGTGTTTACACAAAAATATTAAGCAACATTGATAATTGTTTCTTGTCCAGTAAATCAGCATATTAGAATGTGTTCTGAAGGACTGGAGTAATGATGCTGAAAATTCAGCTGTGTCATCACAAGAATAAATGATATTTTACATCATATTCACATAGAAAACAGTTATTTTAAATTCTAAACCTATTTCACATTATTACTGTTTTTACTGTATTTTTATGGTCAAATAAATGCAGGCATTGTGAGCATAAGAGACTTCGGTAGTGTACCAGTACTACACTTAAAACACTGTGATGAATTAAAAACAAAAAAGTGAACTAAACAAACCTTTTCTCCTCCTGTTCTTCACAGACATTTGACAAGTGTTTTCTGGGCTCATCAGAGACAGCAGACGCTAACCGTGTGTTCTGTGGTCAGATGGGGGCAGTGTATCTGTTCAGTGAAGCTCTCAGTGCTGCTCAGATATTAGCCATCTATCAGCTGGGGCCTGGATACAAGGTGGGATCCATTTCTTTGCCCAAATGGTGTCTTATTATGGATATTAAAAACAGTTGGTAAAAATCCTGATTTAATGAGGTATTAATGTTGTCAAATCACAAACACACATATACTCTGTATGTATGTATATGTATGTATGTATATATATATATGAAGAGTTCATTTGCAAAAACTAAATTTTAATGATTTTTTTTCAGAAATCACGTTTTTTTTATTGCGCATTCGAAGTAATATCAATCAAACTGCAGTTGGGTTGTTTTGATTAAGTAATAATAACTTAAATACAAGTAATTTACAAAATTAAAGTTCATTATAAGTATGTTTTTTTTTTACATATTAAAAGTTTGTTTTATAGCAAAAGCAGATAACTCCACATTTCATGTTTTGGAGTTTAAAAAAACACTCGTTTAATCTTTGTAATCTCCTCAGATGACAATGTAGATGCCTGACAAACGTTGTTGTTGTCATAAACTGTATGGATGTGATTACACGCAATACAGAGCTTTTCTCTCACCATTGTAACGTGCTGCTTTTGCAAGCAAGTTTCAGCTTTTATTTTCCCTTTTCGCCCTGAAGAAGATATCACAGGTTCATCATGTAGCAAAGTTTAGCGTTAGAAGTTTGCTGATGGACCACATTTTTCTATAGACCAGGGTTTTTCAAACTAGGGTCCGAGGACTCCCAGGGGACCACAAGGGGGTGCTAAAGTGTCTGCAAAAGATAGAAAAATGTATTGTTAGGGCTGTCAAAGTTAACATGCACTTAAGATGTTAATGAAACATAATATTTTTTTAATTCTTATTCAGTGAATTTGATTATTAATATTTCATTCTGCTTTCTAAGGATTGAGGACTGATTAGAAATCATGAAATCATAATTGTAGCTTATTTTATTGTATTGACACACGTACAGTATATACTAAATGTACATATATATATACGATTTTCAGCCAATTTAATAGAGTAAATATTATCTTTATATTTTCACTACTTGCTTTACTACAATGGCAATGCCAATTATATAATTTTAGAAACTGATTTATAATTTCACATTTAATATTTTTCTTACTCAGTATGAATGATTGTTTAGGCACGGAAATAGAAAGTGAATTCCTAGAAGGGGATAATCATATTTTGGAGTCCAAAAGTTTAAAAAACCCTGCTATAATGCTCTCAAGCTTTACAATATTGATATTAAATAAATAATGGCATGCTGTCCTTTTTATATTTGCTAATATTATTTTTATTTAACAGTGGTATATGGTGACCATAGTGTACATCTATAATCGCTGGAAGAACAGCGAAATCAGCTGCTATGTCAATGGAGAGTTGGCGTCATATGGTGAGATCACCTGGTTTGTCAACACGAGCGATGTAAGTAGTTTCAAAAGGCTCTGTTATCTCTCGTTGTTCTGGTTTTTAACAGCCGTTAAGCTTGAGGCCCTGCTTTTTTCTCCAGAAGTGTTTTAGTTCAAAGCTTGTCAATATTTTAGCAGCTACAAACCCCAAAATACCCACAAATTTAAAGGATGAAACAAAACTGCTTTGACAGCAGAACAATAGCAAAAGCTAACATTTTCCAATACATGTGATGACATTAAATGTGATTATTCAGTCATGTGTTGTTCTTTTCATGAACAGTGAGGTCCAGAATGTGAAACGTATTTTCATTAAAATCATATGATTAGAATTTGGCCAGTGAGTGGGCAGGACACATAGGCTTTTTTTTTTTTTTTTTTTGTATATCAAAGCTGGGCATTATGAAACACACACACACAAAAAGTTGCTTAAGGTGGTGTCAGAATGATGTAATCACTTTCTATTTATAACATTTAAAGAACAGCATTTTGTAACCGCAAATTGCTGGTTTCTCATCTTGATTCACATGAACTAACAAGTGATACTAATACGGTTTATTGCTCTTTTATTGTATGCATGTGAACAATGAGTCTCAGTAAAAAGCCCTTTAAAAAAATCACTGTAATAGGATCATAGGTATAATCAATGCGCTCTAGCTGATTGAAGACCTGTGCACCTCAAGTGTGATGTGAGTAAATAACACAAAGTGCTGTATAAATGCTGTGATGTTCTAAAGTTTAGGGTCAGTAGCATATACTTTTAAGAAATTAATACTTTTATTCAGCAAGGATGCATTAAATTTATCAAAAGTGACAGTGGAGACAATTATAATGTTACAAAAGATTCTATTTCAAATAAATGCTTTTGAACTTTCTATTCATCAAAGAATCCTGAAAAATCTATCAGTGTTTACACAAAAATATTAAGCAACATTGATAATTGTTTCTTGTCCAGTAAATCAGCATATTAGAATGTGTTCTGAAGGACTGGAGTAATGATGCTGAAAATTCAGCTGTGTCATCACAAGAATAAATGATATTTTACATCATATTCACATAGAAAACAGTTATTTTAAATTCTAAACCTATTTCACATTATTACTGTTTTTACTGTATTTTTATGGTCAAATAAATGCAGGCATTGTGAACATAAGAGACTTCGGTAGTGTACCAGTACTACACTTAAAACACTGTGATGAATTAAAAACAAAAAAGTGAACTAAACAAACCTTTTCTCCTCCCAGACATTTGAGACATTTGACAAGTGTTTTCTGGGCTCATCAGAGACAGCAGACGCTAACCGTGTGTTCTGGGGGGCAGTGGGGGCAGTGTATCTGTTCAGTGAAGCTCTCAGTGCTGCTCAGATATTAGCCATCTATCAGCTGGGGCCTGGATACAAGGTGGGATCCATTTCTCTGCCCAAATGCTGTCTATTACAGATGTTAAAAAAGTTCTTGTTCAAAATTCTGACCTGATGAGGTATTGCTGTCAAATCACATACATGTTCAGATATATCTGTTCATTAGATTATAAAGGGTAAATGCAGCCATTTTTTATTGCGCATTCGAAGTAATATCAATCAAACTGCAGTTGGGTTGTTTTGATTAAGTAATAATAACTTAAATACAAGTAATTTACAAAATTAAAGTTCATTATAAGTATGTTTTTTTTTTACATATTAAAAGTTTGTTTTATAGCAAAAGCAGATAACTCCACATTTCATGTTTTGGAGTTTAAAAAAACACTCGTTTAATCTTTGTAATCTCCTCAGATGACAATGTAGATGCCTGACAAACGTTGTTGTGATCATAAACTGTATGGATGTGATTACACGCAATACAGAGCTTTTCTCTCACCATTGTAACGTGCTGCTTTTGCAAGCAAGGGCGTTTATCGGTTTTTGCAAATGAACTCTTCATATATATATGTATATAGTATACTAAATGGATACTAAAATGAATGTAGTATACTAAACGAATACTAAATGTCAGTTGAACCAACAATCTTTGCTCTTCAGTGATATGATAATTGGCTGGAACCCATCAGGCATCTTTATCATTCACATCATCAATCTGTCTATTGCACTTAAACACTTATGCTTTTATCAAGTGCTCTGATTAATCAGATTTAATTTCATGCTTTTCACACACACATGAGAATGTGCAGCATAGCTCTACTCCGCATCTCTCTCCCTCTGATTGATCCAGGGCACTTTTAAGCACAAGGCAGAGAGTGACCTGCTGTTTGCAGAACATCATAAGATGCTGCTGTATGATGGAAAGCTGTCTGCCAGTATCGCCTTCACCTATAATCCTCGAGCCACTGACGCTCAGCTGTGTCTGGAGTCCTCTCCCAAGGACAATGCTTCCATCTTTGTGCACTCACCACACGCCCTCATGCTGCAGGTATGCTCTTCCTCTTTGTCTCTTCATCACACCTGGTTCACCATCCCAGCACAGCTGCCCTGCCAGGTGGACTGCTCTCTGTGGGCGAATGAAACTAGCTCATCACCATTCGTTAACATAATTAACAGTATGAGCATTTTTGTCATCTCGCTCAGCAAAATACGGCCCACACCTGTGCTGCATCCAGCACTTCATGAGTTCTAAAAGCACTTAATCTAATCTGGTCCACAGTGTTATCAAGGGAGTCTATAAGCTTTTTAACATTCATTTATTTATTAAATATACATTTTTGACTGCAGAGCTCAACAATAAAGACAGCCTGATGGCCCGTGCCAGTGTGAGAATGTTTTGGGCCAGTTGATAGAAGTGTCGGTTACACTTTATTTGAAGTTGTCTTTGTTACAGTGTAATTATACATTTAAGTACTGAGTAATATTAATTAACTACATGTACTTACTATATGGTTAGGGTTAGGATTAGGGTTTGGCTTAGGGTTACTTGCATGTAATTATGCATAATTAATTGTTATTATAATAGTAAGTACATGTAACGTGTAACAAGGACACCTTAAAATACAGTGTTACCGAAGTGTCTCTATGGCTTGCATATGTTAGCCTTGTTCCATGTGTTTCAATGCCTTGCAAGCATAAACATTTGGTTTTGTGTGATACATTCAAATTCTTCTAATTTAAGTATGTCATCAAGATAAACTTATCTAACAGGATAACATAAATGAGGTTTTGTCGAAATTGCAAGAATGACTTCTGATACACGATGGTGTTTGAAGTTAAATATTTTATTCCCAGTGCACAGTTGTTTAACAGCAAAATCGTTTTTATTAATGTATTGCTAATTAAAACCTAAGAAATTATTATTATCATTACTTGAATTATTAATATTGTGTCGGCAAAAACATTTTTAACTGAAAAAGTGTTCTTGGCAAGCCCTGGACTTGATGGATTATAGGATATATTCTATAAAGTGACCTATAGGAACAATAATTTAGCTTGATTCTCAGATTATTATTATTATTATTTTTAGTTAATAAAGGCTTCTTCAGTTCTGATGGCATCTTCGCATGCTGAACAGATGAAGTAGTTCTCTCTGACAATGAGTTTATGGATGTGCCATCTGGGAGAGCGCTAGTCTGATTAGAGGCACCTAAGGACCTCACAGCTGTCTTTCTGTATTTAATTACCCCCCCCCATGCATACAGAGCACAGGTTTAGGAAATAACCTTCTCATTCAGGAATAGCTGTTGCAGAACATTAAGAAGATGACAATACTATGAATTGAATTCATCAGAGGGTCTCTGTGTTACACAACATAATGATGTTATATGACATAAAATTACTAAAGAAACCTAACATCAAGCCTTTCTATGTCTCAGGACGTCAAAGCTGTGGTGACACACTCGGTTCAGAGTGCCATCCATTCTATAGGAGGAGTTCAGGTTCTTTTCCCCCTGTTTGCACAGCTGGATTTCCTACAGCACAGCGGCGACGAGCTGGACTCTTCCATCTGGTGAGAACACATCAACTCTGCCTGGGGGGGAAATGAAAATTAGGAAAGGGATTCTCAGTGGGGAAAAAAGATTGAGCTCCTCTCAGTTTTAGCCTGGCCAGGAAAAACTGAAAATTAAGTTCATGTTGTCTGTCCTAGAGTTGTTAAACCCAGCAGACACACTATAGCAGCTTTCTAAAGGAGATGTTTTCTCATGGTACACAAACCAGTAATCTGTTTTTGGCTATAGGGTTTGGTCCATACGTAAATATTATTTAATTACCATTATAACTAGCTATCTCACAATTTTTTTTTAATTGTACAGTGGGGTAATTTTGGTGTAGTAGCACGAGAGAGCTTGATTTCAAACTTTGAATTGAATAAAAAATGACAAGTAAGCAGTCAGTAATAAAATAAGAACAAATAAAGAAATTAATAATGATAGCACAAATAAAAAATAACGACAGGCCTTCGAATTAAATAAGTTGCTTTTTAGTTTTTCA